TCTGCTACCTTAATACTAAACCTATAAATGTAGGCTTTTAGATCTGTTTTCCCATCCTCATATAATATATTTGCATATGTACATGTCTTTATCTAGAGCTCTATAAATGCCCTTTGCCTCCCAGCTGTTTCCTCTATTTCCCTGGAACAAGGGATTTCATTGCTGGGATCTTGGCTGAAAGAAGAAAATGCCAGCAAGATGTTTGCTTGTGTTATTGACTATGCAGACATTCAACTGTGTGAATCTTAAGAAATTGTGGGTAGCCTTGAGAAGAATAGGGGTTTCAGAACGTTATTGTACTCATGGAACCTGTACATGGGTCAAGAAGCAGCTGTGAACTGAACAAGGGAATACTGCACAGTTTAAAATCAGGAAAGATTTGTATCCTCCCACCATACTTATTCAACTTGTATGCTGAGCAAATAATCAGAGAAACTGGATTACATAAAGAAGAATGTAGTATTAGGATTGGAAGAAGGTGTATTAACAATCTGAGATACGTAGATGGAAGATGGAAGCTGTCAAGGATCTCGCTTGGATCCACAAAACTCAGAGAAGCAGCAATCAAGATCAAATGACACATAAGGTACATCAGTAACACAAGACCTCTTTTTGAAAAGCAAGGATGTTACTTTGAGGAATAAGATACATCTAACTCATTGCATGATATTTTCAGTTGCCTCGTGAATATGAAAATTGGACATTGAATAAAAAGACCAAAGAAAAATCAATGCATTTGAACTGTGGTGTTGGCCGAGAATGTTGAGAACACCACAGACTGCGGAAAGAAGCAGCGTGTCTTGGAAGGAGTACAGTCAGAATGCTCCTTAGAAGCCAGGACGGCAAGGCTGCCTCATGCACTTTGGACATGTTCTCAGGGAGGGGCTCCCAGAGAAGGGTATCATGCTTAGTAAAGTGGAGGGGCAGTGAGATACATTGACCCAGCGGTTGAAACCGCCAGCTCAGGGGTAGGCACAGTTGTGAGGATGTAGTAAAGGCAGTGTCTCCTCCGCTTGTGCATACAGTTACTGTGGATCAGAACTGACGCGACGGCACGGAAGTCAAAACAACAAACAGCGGCTTAGCTTGGTCACACTTTTGAGAAAGTGCTCAGTGCTGATCCCTCAATGGCAGAGCCCTGAGTTCGGTTGCTCTTGTAGTACAGCCTGGGGCATAGAGGCGGCCTGGGCGTGGGCTGCTGTCATGTGTCCACCAGAGGGCATGGGGCTAAGACCGCCAGTGGCAGGGTTGCGGGGAAGGAAGGCGGTGCTGAGCGCGTGCTGAGAAGGGCTGTTGTCTCGGGACACACTGGAGGGGCATCTCCTGTTAGCTCCCCACTTCTGGGGCTCCTGCTCACACACCCTTGATGAGGTTGCCACCTGGCAAAGCAGGCTGTCCCGGCTCTTGGTGGGGTTTTGTGCCTGGCCCCAGGGTTTGACTGGTTTTTCATGGGGCTGGGTAGTCATATACCCAGGCCTGCTGCTGGAGCCCTGCCTGTGGCCATCAGCCTTTCCTGGTTTAACGAGCTGTCACTGGCCAGGACTTCAGCAGCACAGCTGGGGCAGGAGCCATCCCCCAGGTGATCCCTTGTGGCGTTCAGCTGGTTGCCTTGAGCCATGGCTGATGTCTGTACCCCCGGTGCATGCTTGGTTAAGATCCACAGCCATCCCGTGGAGGCCTTGGAGTTCCCTCTGTAAAGGTCTGGAGCAGGTGCACCAAAGCCCACCAGTGTGGGCAACACCTGGGCCTGAGCACAGCTGCTGGGGTGGGGGTGGGGGGGTAGGTGGGGAATGGGGAGGAGGAGCTCTGCCTCCTGGCCCCTGACTTGGAAAGCAGGGCCCTGGTGCTGCAGGCCAGGCACTTGAAAGTAATGCTTGCTATCTTTTCCCCTAGTGTGTGTTCTAATAGAAAGCCTGTCACTTTCCAAAGTGCCTTTTAAAGGCGATGCCGTCATTGGTAAGTACTTTTTATTTTATTTTTTTTACTTCTTTTTTTTTTAAATCAATTTATTGGGGCTCATACAATTCATCACAATACATAGATCAATTGTATAAAACACATCTATACATTTGTTGCCCTCATTATTCCCAAAATTCGCTTGCCTCTTGGGTTCCCGGAATCAGCTCATTTTCCTTTTTTTCCCCGGTAAGTACTTTTTCTAAGTGACTCACGTGGTAACATTTTCTTCTTTTAAAGGACTTCAGGTTAGATGTGAAAATGAATCTTTTAGGGTGGATAATACAGTGTGGTTTGAAGTTTTGAGATAGCAGAACATCTTGTTTTTCATCATTTATTAAAACCGTCCAAATACAGGGCCTCCTCCCCTGTAAGGAAGCGTCCTCAGCCACCTCCGCAGGCAGTACCGCGGAGCGCTCGGTGAGGATGTGCTCCGAGTCCTTGAGCTTGAGTGGTCGCTGGGGTTCAGATGCTGCCCCAGCACTGGCCCAGAGTGCCTCATGCTCGTAGGGAGCATGTCAGAGAGGTGGCCAGGAAAGGGTGATCCGCACTGCAGCTCGGCTGCTTCAGAGACCAGTGACCCTCTGTGACAGTGCTTACTTGGCTCTGAGTTAAATGTTCAGGTTTTTTGGGGGGCAGGGCAGGTTGAAGAGACGGATAGGCAAAGGACAACTTGTAGCTTGTGGGTTTGATAAAAGAAAAAGGTTTTCCAAAATGTATCGAATTGTTAAATTTACTGAATGCTGGTATTCCACATGTTAACAGTTCTAACACTTCTAACACTTCAAAAGAGATGACCCTTTAAATCGTAGGACCTTCAGATGTGTGCGGTCTGGAAAGTGAAATGTCTACTTGAGGCTTCTCCCAGGATTCATCCTGGTGGTCACTGCCACCGTTAATTGAAGAGGGGGGAGGACAGGCTCGACAGGAGCGAGTGAGTAGGTAGACAGACCGGCTTGTTGTTGCCTACTCAGCTAGCTGAGTGAATTCCTGTATCCCTGACAGATGGCTGGCAGTGGCTGATCAGCGACACACTCCGGAGCCTCCACCTGGTCTCCAGCCCCTCCAGGCAGCAGATCAAGGTGAGGGGCCAGGCCTACACACCGCTGTGTCGGCAGGGGCCACGGACATGGGGTCACTTAGTTCTTGTGGAGTTTGTTTTGGACTCAACATGATGATTGCTGGTTGCCAGTGTTCCTTTTGGAATTCTTAGTGCCTTGTCCCCTCACTTCGAGTGGGAAGTCGGTAGCACGGCTTGTGGTAACCAGAACATGCAGTGTTTTGATGACCTATTTTGGCTTCTGCACTCTATGCACCCTTCTACACTGGTGACGATGGGCTGTGCAGCTGAGGGCTCGAGGGTAGGGCTGTGGGGATTGGGGGATAGAGACCATGCATCCTGTGCTCTGCAGGTGAGCGAGCCTGCACAGAGCCAGCTCATACAGCCGGAGCTTGCTTAGCAGGCTGTGTACTTCCCGTCCCTCCCCAGGGGTCCGGTGGACTGGGGCCCAGCAGAGGGCTACTGTTCACCCATGTACACGTTGTTTGCCATGCTCATCACAGACTGTTTTGACACTGAGGATGCAGAAGTAGAAATACCTTCTGGTTTCTGTAATTCTCGAGCTGCCGACATAGCGTAGTGTTCTGCTGGGGTAGCACTGTTTTACTAGTTGAGTAGCTCGTGGTCAGGGCCTCACTTTACCCTCTTTTAAAAAAACCTCAATTTGGATTGCCCCACGGTGAGTCCTGATGGCCGCCTCTCCAATGTGTAAGGGTGACAGCTCACTTTTCTCTGAGCATCGCCATTGTCCTGGGCTCTGTGGCCTCCCCTCCTGCACAGTGACCGAGCTGACAGGCGTGGGAGGAGTGACAAAGGTTGCTGCCGGACCTGCCTCTAGAAGTGGCTCTCTGACACGGCCTTGCCCCTGCCCTGGAGGTGAGGGCCTGGGCGCTAACCATTCTGATCCATTTGAAGTGTCACCACTGTGATCACACACATCTGGGGTCTTTGGCATCTGAGAGAGGCTTCATCCTACAACACTTGGCGGCACACGTGGTCCTGTCTGTTTCAGGAGGCAGCTGTCTTGGCCTTGGCGGCACTGTGCAGCGAGTACTACCTGGAGGAGCCGGGAGCGGCAGAGCCTGTTGCACTAGGTGAGGGAGAAGTAAGGAAAGGGTTAGGGGAGTGGTTCTCAACCTTCCTAATGCTGTGACCCTTTAATACAGTTCCTCATGTTGTGACCCCCCCCCAACCATCGGAAATATGTATTTTCTGATGGTCTTTTAGGCAACCCCTGTGAAAGGGCGTTCGACTCCCGGGTTGAGAACTGCTGGGTTAGGGTTAGCGGGTGGTGCTGTGGAGGTCGTGGACCGCACTGGGAAGTCCTTGAAGGCTACCCAGGACCATGCTGCTGTGTGCATGCAAGAAGGGCCACAGATCAGCAAGTCACTGGCCTCTGTGAGGTCTCTGCACTTGTGTCCAGACCACGTGTAGTTTGTTCTTGAGGGTCCTCCCCTATTTGCTTGATGTGACCTCTTGGTAGGCGAGGTGGTGGCGGCTCACTCCCAGCGTGTACTGGGGACGTGTCTTCGTGGGCCAGCACATGGGCGAGCTTGTTCTGTGCGTTTCGTGCTCCTCGGGTCACCAGCTTGACTCATGATCAAGCGAGGAGTCACAGGGTAGGGGTGGGGAGAAACACGCACACCGCTGACACATCACGAGAGGCGTCACTGTGGTACTGCTGCCTATCCTTGCCAAGAGGCTGTGACATGTTTCTGGGGAGCAGGGCCCTGGGTGGGTCGCGGGACAGGGACGGCTTCCAGTGACAGTGTTCGCAAGGCCCCTGTGAAGGCCCGGTGTCTTGCAGATGCATTGACGCAGCAGTACCTCAACGAGCTGCAGAGCCCTGAAGAGATGACACGCTGCGGCTTTGCGCTGGCTTTGGGGGCCCTGCCCAGCTTCTTCCTGAAGGGCCGGCTGCAGCAGGTGAGGCGCCCAGGGAGCAGATGGTCTGAGAGGTGGGTCACACACCTGAGTGGCCTCCAGTGGGCCCAGCCAGGACAGCACCACATGAAGCAGAAGAGAGGAGTCAAAAGGGTGGTCTTGGCTCCCAGGTTGCTCTCGCGTGAAGGTGGCTTGGGCAGGAGGGTGGTGTTGGGCAGCATGACTGGCTGTCTGCCCGTGCCAGATCTTTGCGCTCTGCTGCAGAGGCTACGTACGTCTGTGCCCCACCTAGACCTCCAGCTCCCCGGGTCCTCGGTCTAGTTGAAACTACTGGGAAGCAGGTTAGCACGCTGAGAACAGGTGCTGCAGGCTCTTCCAGCAACAGCCCTGTCCCCCTACATACTCGGCTGACACTCAGGAGAGCAGCCTGCCCTCTGGAGTGAGAGAGGGGCGGCCCCAGATTCTCATGGCGAGCAACAACGGGTCCTTTGTCTTGGGTGGTATTCAGTCAGGCAAGAGGAGCAGCAGTTGCACAGAGCCAAGGCCGACTCATGGGGCGGGGCGGGGCGGGGAGTGAGGTGGGGGACCCTGCTGAGGATGACCGATGGCATCCAGAAAGCAGTCCCCTTGGTGCGCTGTGCTAACAGGGTCCACCCCACGAGCAGTGGTTCTGACGACTGTTTGCTGTGCCCAGGTCTTGGCAGGTCTGAGAGCGGCCACTCACATCGACCCCCAGGACATGAGCTTTGCAGATGCCAGGAGAGACAGTTTGAGGGCTATTGCTCGGTGAGTCCTGGGGCATCCTCCTCTAAGACGACCGCTTCCTGAGGCCGGGGCCAGGGCGTGATCGAATCCCACTTCCTAAGGAGCAAAGAACTTGACCCTCACAGCTGTGAGATTGTTCTCCGAGTCGACCGGCCTTCCGGACTTTATCTCCCGGGTGGTCCTCTTCAGAGGGTGGTCAGGCAGCCTCAGCCCCAAAGAGGGTCGCAGACAACTCATGCTGTTATTTTAGTGAACTTTGATCCGGATGTGCAACTCTTCACCCACCCAGCCCAACAGTGCTTTTTCCCCCTGTAAACAAACACTTTATATGGTGAACTAGATGAAGATTTACACATTTACACAGCATACGATCAATTTTACGTTGGGCAATTCATACATTTTCTTTCATCTCATCTGTTGTAGTTCCCTGTTTGAGTTCCTTTTGCATGTGTATTTCCAATGCCTTTTCTTCTTGAGAATCTGGTTCTGTGTGTGGGGACTTGTTTGCGTCTCTGTCTTGTTTCTTTGTGTGAGCTGGAACTGTGTGTCGCCCATACATTGTGTCGGCGGTTTCACATTTGAGGATTGCATGTTGGTGAGACCCTCGCTGCTCACCCCTTGTCTCCTGGTGGGTATAGCAGAGAGAGTGTGTGTGGCTCTCTGTCCGATGTTCAGGTGGTTTAGGAATGGAGAGTAGGTGTGGCTACAGGAGCTATGGGTATGGCTGGGTGGTGTGGGCACAGTTGTCTCTCATTGGGTGGGGATTGGGCAGTGGGCCATCTGCCAGCCAAAGAGCTCGTGGGTGAGGGTCCGGGTGGGTTGGGGATGAGAGTGGACCTAGTTCTAGATGGAGTTCCTGCTGACCTCTGTGTTACCTAGTGTCCAGGCACCTGACCTGGAAGGTAGTTTGTGCCGGCGCAGATGGTGGCTGACGCCAGGGAGCTTGTTTCTGGAAGGAATTATTTTGGGCCCCGAAGGCAGTTGGGGGCAGGGTGACGGGCGCTGGAAGGTGTTCTTGCCCTCCAGGAGTGTCCTGCTGGTCTGAGGAAGGGGGACCTAAGCACCCAGCCCTTGTCCTTGAGCACAAGCACAGCACCCCTTCAGGTGGAGCCGTGGCTTTCCTTGCAGGAGGGTGGGGCGGGACTGGCCATATTTCTGGTCACCTGGAGGGTGTGTGGAACAAGGGAGGGCTCCCCGTCTCGTCGGGAGCCCCTGGTGGCCAGGCTGTGTCTGCAGGGAATACCGTAGCTTGCGAATGCCCAGGAGGACTGTGCCACGCAGGCCAGCTGCCGCTCACCCAGCCTTCTCTCACTGCTTTTCCTCAGCTCTTGTCTTCATTGCTGTTCAGCTCACTTCTCTGTTCCTGCTCCTAGCAGGTCAAAACCACTGCCCTGTGGAAGAAAGAGGAGGCTTCCTACTCCTGTTAAGGAGTGACCGTCTCAGAAACGCAGGGGGCAGTTCTACCCTGTCCTTCAGGGTTGCTGTGAGTCAGAGATGACTCGACGGAGCTCGGGGTTCTCAGTGGCACCCCAGTCTGTGTCAGGGGCTCTCGCCAGTCTCTTGTAGGGCTCTCTGATGCCTGTCTTCTTTGCCTTTTTGTGACAGGTGTGTGTGGGTTCCAGGTGAGGAGGCTGCCCTGTGCTTGCAGACAAGCACAGTCCTGGCCCCACCCCCACCCCCCACCCCGAAACAGGAAGTTCCTCTGCACTGTGACCAGCCTGGGCCCATGCTTGTCTGGGTGGGAGGGAGAACCCGTTGTGAAGGCCTTCACCCCACCTTCGCGCTGAGCAGTCCTGCCCTTAGGCCGTGCCCTAGCAATTCCTGGTGGGTTGTGGTGGCGCAGGATCCCTCGTTATTGTAGCTGCATATTCTTGATTTAAGGGTCTGCCAGACGGTCGGGGTGAATGCAGAAGGGAGCCCTGACGAGGTTGTGTGCGAAGCCAACGTCCCCCAAATTTACTCCACCTTGCTCGGCTGCATGAGCGACTACACCACGGACAGCAGGGGGGATGTCGGCGCGTGGTGAGTGCTCGAGCATGCCGTGCGCACACACACTCCCCCCACCCCCCACCTCCTCTCTGCCCGGTGGATCTCCTAGTCACCCCACGGTACCTGATACTTGGTCCGTGACCACTCCCGGGGCAGTGCTTCCCAGGTGCCCGATGCCCCGTTTCTCTCTGCTCTTCAGAGGGTACCCCTCTGCTGACAAAAGAGCACCCTAATTGCTTTGGAGAGGAGAGGAGGGGCAGCTCAGGAGGAAAGTCTTGCTTTGGGTCAAATTTCCTCCTCACTGCAGGTTCCCCACCCTCCCCCCTGCAGGGTCCGAGAGGCGGCAATGACCAGTCTGATGGAACTGACACTCCTGCTGGGGAGCAGCCGGCCACAGCTGATTAGGGCCGACATGTGCGTGGGGGCAGGGTTCGGGGTGGGATTCCCTGTGGGCCAGGGGTTCTCAGTGTTGGGTGTGTCAGGGTGGGGGTCTCTATGGGCTGGAGGTGCTGGACTCCAGGTGGGGTGATGCAGTGATGTCCACAGCTGTGCTCTCCCTGCAGCTGCGAGCAGGTCCTGTGCTGTGTGGCTCAGCAGGCCAGCGAGAAGATTGATCGCGTCCGCGCCCACGCCGGCCACGTGCTCCTGACACTCCTGCACTTCGACAGCCCCCCACTCCCCCACGTGCCCCACCGAGAGGCGCTGGAGCAGATCTTCCCCAGGTGCTGTAGGTAGGCCCCTGCACCTGTTACATGGTCCCTCCATAGTCACGGTGCTGATTGTGCCCTCTTGCAGGTCAGATGTGGCCACTGTGAACTGGAATGCGCCCTCCCAGGCCTTCCCGCGCATCACCCAGCTCCTGGGGCTGCCAACCTTCCGTTACCACGTGCTGCTGGGTCTAGCCGTGTCTGCCGGTGGCCTGACCGAGTCCACGGTGAGTGGGGCGCCCTCTCTGCCACAGCTTCTTCCGCAGGGGCCTGCCTTGCACACAGTGGGCTCCGTGGGGCTGTGTGTGCACGGTGTGGGCAGGCCAGCATCTGTGGTGTGCTGTCCCCCAGTACCTTGAGTCTCAGGCTCTGCATCTGGACCCTGGTTCCCCGCAACTGCAGGGGTGCCCTGGTCATGAGGGTGGTCTGCTGGCTGAGAGCACTGTGGCCTGCTGGCTCACCATGGCAGCTCCATCCTCCTGGCTCTGGGATGGTAGTGACATGAATGTGTCAGGGGCTCCCCTGAGAGGTTGTGCGTAAGTGGGAGCCACATACCTTCCTCTTCCCGGTGTCACTCACCACTGTTGCTGTGATACATGAGCCCCTGGAACCTGGCCTCCAGCTGTGATCTCTGGCATGCTAGACAGACTTCAGTGCCTGTGGGGTGGACTCTGGACACCCTGCTGCTACCTGGGAGTCCAGCTGAGGTATGTAGGCGTGTTGTGGGCCAGATGTCTCATCACAGTGCCCTTTGCCCTCCCGTGGTGGTAAGGGGGGTCATTCTGGTGACCCAGCAGTGGCGTGACAGGCCCGGTTGTCATCACCTGCGGAGGGACGTCTGCCTGCACTCTTGAAGTTGGTCATCTGCTGAGCCTGTGCCCGACCTTGAAAGCGTGTGTCTGTTACAGGTCAGATACTCAACTCAGAGCCTGTGTGAGTACACCAGGGGCATTCAGAAGGACCTGCAGGCCATGGCGAGCTTCAGCAGGGCCCTCCTGCAGGTCTTCGAGGATAACCTTTTGAATACTAGGTAGGAGCTCGGGGCAGCAGGCTGAGCCTGGTGGCCACATCCTCAGGGCTAGGGCTGGGGGGCGGGGAGCCTGTGCTGGGCATGCATTTTCCCGGCTCTCCTTCTCACCGGGTTTGTGTGAGAAAAGTGGGTGCCCAGGCAGCCAGGTGGTGAGCACAGTGAGGTGAAGGGCCTTCTGGTGCCTGGCTGTGCCACCTCTGTAGGCTTTCCCAGCCTGCGCCGTGATAGGGGGAACCCGGGTGGAGACGGGTAAGTGAGGAGGTGGCGCACCACACCCGGCTCCCTTTACAAGGTGCCCTCAAGGCTGACAGCGCCTCAGCCTGTGCAGGCCAATCGCACCACGGACCACGGCCCCTGAGGAGAGGCGGGAAGAAGCGTGTGTAGTGGCCGCTCATCGTGGTCTACATTGACCTGGTCACTTGTGGCAAAACCCTCGCGGCAGTGTGGGTTAAACATTGGGCTGCTTTGTGGACAAGGTCAGCAGTTCAAACCCATCGGCTGCTCTGTGGGAGAAAGATGAGGCTGCCTGTGACCGTGAACCTTTGTGGAGCAGTGCCACTGCACCCGACAAGGTCGGCCACGAGTCAGAACCCACTCGTGGCCACGAGTCTGAGTTTTATATACTACTCTTTGGTGACATGTGTTATGTCTTTGGCCTGTTTTGAATTAAGACTTTTTCCTATTAAAGATTTATTTATGAAATCTGGACATGTTCTGTGTCAGCTATGTAATTTGCAAATACTTCTTTCTTTCTGGACTGTGGTTTGTCTCTTTGCTCCACAGACATTTTCTACGTGACTGTGAAGTCCGGTTTCTGGCTTAGCCTTTTGGTGCCCTAGCTAAGAAGTTGTTGGCTAATCCCAGGTCACAGTTTTTGCCAAAGTGTTCTTCTTGACGATGTCTGGTTTCATCTCAGGTGTGAGTTTAGACCTGTGATCCACTTGTGTCTGTGTCTGGCGTGTGGGGGAAGGTACAGACATCCATGTTAATATCCAATTGTTTCAGCACCGTTTGTTGGGCACGGTCTACTGTGCTGCCTCGGCACCGTGGTCAGCACGTGTGGAGAGACGTGTTGGGTTCACTTCCAGATTGCTTTGCTCCTCAACCTCTTTGTCGTCTGTTTTTATTACATTTGTTTTATAAGAATGTCGAAGTTAACTGACATTTTAACAGGGTTGGTTTTTCCTGGGCAGCACAGTATGTCTCTCCCACTTACCTAGGTTGTCTTCCATTTCTTTCAGCTGTTCTTTTGAAGTTCTGAGTGCGTCGGTCTGTTTGATTCTTACTTCTGTCTGAGGAGGGAGGCACTCAGGCTTTTGCTGTGGGTTGTTGGCTTCTCACAGAGACCCCTCAGTGAGGTTAAGGAGGGGCCTTCCTCTTCCATTTTGCTGAGCAGGTTTGTCTTGAGTGGGTGTTGGGCTTTTGTTGGACACTTTTCTGCATCTAGAGGTGATTATATGGTGCTTCTTAGATGGCTAATGTTACCTTGAGTGAGTTTTGCATGTCAAGTCAACCGTGGACATGATGTTAATCCGTTGTTGCTCCGGTCGGTGATTCTGTGCGTCTGTCTGCAGCTCTTCCCTGCCTTTGTGTCGGGTGAGACCTTGTAGACGCCGCCGCCGCCGCCACCACCGTGGCTTTTAAAGTGTTTGGTGAAACTACCTGGGCCTGGAGTTTTTTATTGGGGAAGATTTTTAATCTTCATTTATCTAGTAGCTACAGTACTGTTTAGGTTATTTCTTCTTGAATGAGCTTTGGAAATTGGTGTTTTTAAAAGGAATTTGTCTCCCACCACCTGAGTTCTTGTTTAGTTGTCAGTTGTGTGTCATGACAACCATATGTGATGTGTGTCTGGCAGCTTCCCTTGGGCCCAGGTGGGGGCCTTTACTGGGAGAGGCTGCCCTGTGGGGGACCCCTCAGAACCAGCCATGTGGTACCCTCCTCTGTGCGCCCTTGATTCTGGCTGTGCGGGGGTGGGAAAGCTGGTGTATTTCAGTTCCTGAGTCTTTGGCCCCAAACTCTGGGAGCCCAGTGCTCCCAGCGCGCCACCTCCCCTCCCCCAAAGCTCTCACTTGGCACCCGGGAGGGAAGGCTGCTCGAGGCCTCAGCACTCCGCTGCAGGTTAGGCTGGGGGGCAGGGCCTGGTGGTGCTGGACCTCAGTGGGCTGTGGCTTGCTCTCTGACAGCTGTCTCCCTTCAGGGTTTCTGTGCCGCTGCTGAGGACACTGGACCAGATGTTGGTCACCGGGGTCTTCGATGTCTTCACGGAGGAGGAGGAGTGAGTGCGACCTCCTTGTTGAGAGGCAGCAGGGTGGTCAGATCCCGGCTTCTGAGCTCGGGGTGGGGGTGGGGGTGGCGGTTCTCCAGGGCAGGCAGGATTGGTCTTCGCCCAATCTGCATGTCTGGAAATGAGTCCTGGCTGCCCTACTGTGTTTATCTGTGTGGTGGGGTGGGGGCACAGAGGGAAGGTGCCACATCACACATACCCTGAGCTCACCACCAAGCGTGTCTCCTCCAGCCACCCCTTTGCGGTGAAGCTGCTGGCGCTTTGCAAGGAGGAAGTCAAAAAGTCCAAAGACCCCCAGAAGCTCCGGGCAGGCATTGCTGTGTGAGTGTCCACTGACCTTCACCCACGAGCAAGGATGGGGCTTGGCCTCGGGTAGGGAGAGGTGCTCCCACTGGAACGGGTCCTGGCTAGAATGGGGGCAGTCTGAGGGTGTGAGGGCAGTGGAAGTGAGGCAGTGAAGTGTGTGGCGTTTGTGTCCTGGCCAGAGGGGGGTGGGGCAGGGAGTGTTGGTGTGTGTGTCAACAGCGTCCTTCATGGAGGTGGGTGTTGTAGGAAGAGCCATCCCCCATGCACTCGTCCCCTGAGAGAGGCGTGGGGGTGGGGGTAGGAGTGGGGAGGGCCCTCTGCAGGTGTGTGCTTTCCTGAGCCTCTCCGCCTGCTGCCCTCAGACCCAGGGAATTGCCTCCTCGTGGACTTGTGTCTGGGAAGGTTCTGTGCCCGTGATCTGGACGTCTTGGCTTCCTACAGGTTTTGTGGCATGATTCAGTTCCCAGGGGACGTGAGGAAGAATGTGCTGCTGCAGCTGCTGCTGCTCCTCTGCCACCCGTTTCCCACAGTGAGTGTCTGTGCCCGACGACCCACTCATAAGTGTGTCTGTGATGCGCTGTGGCTGTTGAGGTCATGTGGCTGCATGTCACAGGTGTGATGCAGGAGTGGCCAGCCAGAGCGCAGGCCCACCCATGTGTTTGAGTTTGCCACCAGCTTGGCCACAGCATGCTGGATCATTAACATTAACCCAGGGTTCTGAAGTTGGACTGCAGACTCCTCTATTTCTGTGAGCAGTCTGACCCCTGCTGTATACACAGCTTGTTTCATGTCCATGAAACTGCCCAATTGCTTTTAAGTCTTATGTGGAGGTAAGCATGAGAAATCATATAGCAGGGATGACCAAGAAGTTGACCTTGGGCCACAGCCAGACTGAGTTTTGAAATGGCATGTCCAGCATCTGAGTTCTGGGTCTGATCTGACAAAACATCTTAGAGGAGGGTGAGCCTGTGAGTTATGCAGGTGCTTGGAAGGCTCTGGGTCTGCATGGGTGAGCAGAAGCTCGCTCTTGCCCTCTGGGATGCATACGAGCCGGCTTGAAGCGGCTCGGCCTCTGTTTTAGCAACATCAGCTGTGGTGTCCACCTCCCAGGTGGTAGACCTGGAAACCTTTGTGCTCTCCGTAAAGAGGAAGCAGACACACGTTCCCAGTCGGCTCTGGCTCACACGTGTCATAACGCTTATAGCGTAAACACCTTTTTGGAGTAAGATGCCAAGAGCTGCATCTGAGTACCTCAGGATTCCTACTCCTTAAAAGTTTTCCTCATGTGCAAGCAGCGCCTTGTTTAGAGGCTCATCTGGCAGTCAGTATTTTGAACCTGTGTGGGTAACATTGTCCTCCACTGCTGTTGCCGGTTATTCAGGTCTCCTCCTGGGCCAGGAGCAGACCCGTTTAGGGCTGGTTCTAGTGCCATACCACGGCCTTTCCTACCACCAACACCTGGGTTTTTGCCTTAGATCCGGAATACCACGGCCAGCCACGTGTACGAGATGGTGCTCACCTATGGCGAGGAGGTCACGGGTGCTGAGGCTTTGGATGAGGTCATGGCTGTGCTGGGTGACACGGCCTGGTGAGTCAGCACGGCCGCCCAGGCCTCGCAGCCTGCCACCACCCCAGCCGCTCTGCTTGCTCCCCCGGGAAGCTGCGCCCGGTGTTCCCTGCTCTGCATCTGAAACGGCAGGTGTTGTCCTCAACCTGGGTACCAGGCCTCACTCTGACCCTCCCTTCCCCACGGCTTCCTCCGCCGCTTCTGCCTGGAACCCCAGCAGCCAGACATTTGGCCTCCAGCAGATGCTCTGATTTCCTGCCTGCCTTTTCTCAATGTCTCATTCGTGGTCTTTCCTTGTGTGCGGACTCTCCCTCTTGATAGCTTACCAGTTTCACGGAATCCCTGTGGAGGATCTCTGTAAGGAGGGATCCCTAAAAACCTAGAAAACAGCTCCGTCCTGCAGACCTTTCATAGTACACGGTTTTCCTCTAGGAGAGGGAAAACGCCTGGGAAGGATCTCTGTTCACAGTGAAGTTTTTAGTAAAAGCAGTTTCACTTGAACCTTGTTTTTTGTGATGGCCAATTTAAGAGAACGGTGTGCGGCTGTGAAATCTTGTTTCCTGCTCAGGAAAAATCCCACAGAAATGGTTGTGATATTTAATACAGCTGTCAAGGACAGCGAAGTGTACGAATGGTTTTCTTGTTTCAATAAAGGTGAGGTGTCCATTGATGACAAACCTCATTCTGGATGTCCGTATCTTAACCGAATGGACAAAAACGTCAAGTGTGTGCACTTGTGCTTGAAGACCGACGACACACCGTCGAGGAGATGGGGACGTTATTCAGTTCAGTGAATTTTAACAGAAGGTCTGGGAATGAGAAGGGTCGCTGTGAAATTGAGGCCTTGGGCTCTGACTGACCAGGAAAAGAGCGTCGACTGGACACATGCTGTGCTTTGAAAGAACAGATCCGATTGACCCCCTTTTTCCAAGGTCATCACCGACGACGACAAGACATTGGCGGTATGTATAAGGCCCCAACCAGTGGAAGACAACATCGTCCCCCCGCCCCAAAAAAGGCTTGTCAGGTGAAATCAAAGGTCAAGGCTGTACTCATTTGTTTTTTTGGTATGAGGGGGGATAGTGCATTTGGAGTTCGTTCCACCAGGTCAGACTGTTAATCAAGCTTTTTGTTCTGAGTGTGTGACAAAAAAGGCCTGACTTGTGGCAGACAGGGGGACTGGTTTTGCCACCATGACAATGCGGTTAGCTGCTGAAGCAACCATCTCTGTGGGCCAGTTTTGGGCAAAAAACGCATGCCTCTCTTGCCCCATATACCTTACTCACTTGACCTCACTCTCTGCGACTTCTTTTTGTTCCTGCAAAAGAAGAGGGACACGAAAGGACAGTGATGTGATCGTGTCAAAGAGGTGAAGAAGAAAACGAGGGAGGTGTCGTCAGCCATCCAAACAGATGTGTTTGAAATAGGTTTCCAAGACTACACAGATTTGATGAATGTATTAAGTGTAATGGAGAGTACTTTGAAGGTGATAAGGTTCTTAAAATTTTTTTAAATACATAGCTTTGAAAAAAAACCCGTTTTTTGGGGGGTACCTCTCATATTACCAGTTGTTTCCTGTTCTGCGTAGAGCACACTGTGGTGGTTTGTTTTCTGCTTCCCGTATTCTCGCTCCTGAGCTGCTCTCTTCCTGTGTGGCGAGCATCTGTGGGCCCACCTCACCGTGCCCTGTACCTGTTCCCGCGGTGTGGTCATCTCCTGTTGTCTCTCTCCTGTGTGTCTCCTTATTTGGGGGTAGTTATTTTCATGGCAAGGAACATCCTAGACCCAGGACCCACACGCCCCCCTCCGTGTTTCCTCCTCTGCGTTAGAAGAGAAGCTTACTGAAATCCTTAGGAAGTTAGTGACCAACACACTGAGCTTCTACTCTGCTTTGTGGTGAATGACGCCTTCTCTCTCCCTCCAGGGACTTGGAGCTGCCACTGGTAAGGGAGCAGCGGAATCGCCTGTGTGACCTCCTGCAGGTGCCCAGACCCCAACTGGTTTCCAAGGTAACTGCACAGTGTCCTGGAAAAGCTCCCAGTGACAGGCAGATGTCTGGCTGTCTCACAGATTGCCATCCATTGGCTTTAAAGCACATGAGCCAGACACCTGACTCCATAGGTCACGGTCTGAAGCCCAGCGTCTTGAGCCCCACAGGGCGCCTGTGTCCTGCTAGCTCACAAGGCCAGCCTGGGTCCCAAGACTGTCATCGCCATCACAGATGTCTAGCCTATTTCTTGCCCACGGCACACGGTGTAGGGACTACTTCCTCTCTGCCGTGGGGTGGCCCTTTTGCCTTTGCTGTTGCTGGTGGGTCTGCGCCCTTTCCTGGATGATACTTTCACAGGCTTCTTGGCTGCTTTGATGCTCTTTTGCTTTAAGTGCTGCTCAGACTTAGTGTGTCTTCCTCGTGCTGCCCAGCTCTTGACACTTGACTTACAAGGTTCTTTTTGCAGAGCAGGGCTCACGTAGGACCCTCTCCTGCTCCAAGGTTGGTACCTTGTCATTCTTTTCAGGGAAACTTGGATGAACAGAGTCTCTAATTGATCTGTCTTTTCCTTTTTATTACTTGAGTCTGGTTAGGAAGGAACCCTGGTGGTGCAGTGGATTACAGGTTGGGCTGCTAACTGTAAGGTCAGCAATTTGAACTGACCAGCTGCTCCGTGGAAGGGAGATGAGGCTGTCTGCTCTTGCAACAACAGTTCTACTCTGTCCTATAGGGTCACTAGGAGCCGGATTTGATTAGACAGCAGTGAGTGATGAGTTATAAAGAAATCTTTGCCTGTTTCTTACTGGAAACCTGCCCCCGCCCATGTAGATTGATAAACTCATCTGTGGTTTTGCTCGCTACAGGGTATGGGGTGGAGGTTGTTAGTGCCTATCTGCTGGATGGACCTGTCAATTGTGTCCATAGAAGGGTGTTGAAGTATCTAATTACAATAGAAGTTGCATAGTTTTGCATCTTAGACTTAGATCTATTGATCCATTTTGGGCTAATATTTTTCAAAGATTTATACCGTGTCTTGTGTCTAGATTCATTTTTATTTTTACATGTGTACATCTAGTTGTTCCAGCACCGTTTAAAAAAAATTCTTGGCTCTCTGTTCGTCTCCACTGATCTTTCTGTTCCTTTGATAATGCCACACTCTCTTGACCCCTGTAACTTTGTAGTACGTCTTTATCAGTCTTCTAACTTTGTTCCTCAGTGGTGGATGGGCTATTCTGGGTTTTTTGCCTTTCAGCTTTAAAATCAATTTGATGATACTCACAGAATTACTTTCTGGGATTTTGTTGAGTCTGTAAGTCAAGTTGAGAAGAACTGACACCCTAATGTTAGTCTTTGAATTCATGAACATGGTTTCTCTCTCCATTTAGTCAGATCATCTGCCAGTCTTAACAGTTTTCTTCAATTTTAGATTTATGCCTAATTCCTTAAATACAATACTATTTCCATTAGCACCAAAAATTACTTTCAAATTCCAGTTCACTGCTAGTAGATAAAAACAATTTTTTGCATACAAACCTTGAATCCTGCAACCTGACTATAATTGCTCATTAGTTCTCGGAGGTGTTGATTCTTTGGAACTTGCAAATACATCGTTTAGTTCTACCTTTCAATGGATCATCTGAGACTTTGAGTATGGCCTTGAAAAATGTGATGAGGGACGCTCTTGTCTTGTTTCCCAAGTCTCCAGTTTCTCACCACTGAGTTCGATGTTTGTGGATGTTCTCTATCAATTTGAGGGAGTTCTTCTGTTCCCCAGTTAGCTGAGATATTTTAACATAACCGAATGTTGGATTGTATCATACTTCTTCGGCATCTATTAGTAAGATGTTTCTTCTTTAGCTTGTGATATGATGAATTACTATATACGAGTATAAGCTGACCCAAATATCACCCGAGGGATCTAATTTTACCACAAAAATGGCATTAAAAATGTGCTGGATCTCAGGTTTTTGCACCAAAACAACAACAAAAAATGTGCTGGAAAAACTCAGCTTATACTTGAGTATATATGGTACTTTAAAAAATGTTGAGCCAGTTCTGGAATAGCCATTCTACTTGGTCATGGTGTGCAATACTTTTTATACATTGTTGCATTTGATTTGTTAATATTTTGTCAAAGGCTGTTGATACCTGTGTCTGTGGTTTTGGTATTAGGGTAATGCTGGCCTCATAAAGACATAGGGAATGCCCCCCTCCCCTCGACTCCCCTATTTTCCTAAGAGTTTGAGAAAGATTACTTTCAGTTCTTATTTAAATGCTTAGTTGGATTCATCGGTGAGGACCACCAGGATGAGAATGTTAACACATTGTGAAGAGTGCTTAGAAATCTAAATTACCATGTAGACTTTTCCTGAACATGAGAAAATTCATCCGTGAAACCATCTGAGTATGGCGCTTCCTGTTTTGATGGTTGTCAATTATTGATCCAATTTTTCAGACATGTCGGTCTATTCTGATTATTTCTTCCTATCTGCGTGTCTTTCTAGGAATTAGTTCATCACATTTATCAAATTTGTGGGCCTACAGTTGTTTTGATAGCAGCTTTCATTTTTAATGTTAGTAATTTGTGTCTTCTTACTTGGTTAGCCTGGCTAGAGGTGAATCAATTTGTTGTGTTTCCAAATTTAACTGTGTCTGCGCTGTTTCTAATTATTTTCTGCTGTGTGCTTCAAGTGTATACTGATTTTCATTTTCAAGTTACCTAAGATGAAAGCTACATATCAGGCTGCTAACTGCAAGGTCAGCAGTTCAAAACCAAACCATCAGCTGTTCCTCGAGAGAAAGACAAGGCTTTGTTGCGTCTCCTGTAAAGGAATTCTGGGACTGGGAAGCCCACAGGGTCAGTTTTACCCTGCCCTGTAGGGTTGCTATGATTCGTCATCGACACCACGCCAAGGAGGTGTTTTGGTTTTTTCCTGATAAGGTGGAAGCTCGGCTGGATGTTACATTTTTTTTCCAGCATACACACCCACTGCTGTTATACGTTACTCTCTAAACACCGCTTTTGCTATGTCGCCCACTAATTTTGATAATTTGAACTAAAAGTGAAGTACAACTTAGCAAAAACATTTGATAATTAGAAGTTATTTTGGGGTTTTCCAGCTGTGGTCCTTTTAGTTGGTTTCTAGTTCAAGTGCATTGTGGTTTGAGAAGATACTTTGTGTGGTTTTTATTAAAGGTACACTTGAATGGTGCAGGATGTGGTCCAGTTTGGTGAATATTCCATGTGAGTTTGAGAAGGTTGTGGCTTCTGCTGTTGGGTGAAGTGCTCTACAAATGTCAACTAGATCCAGTTGATTGACGGTGCTGTTGAGTTCAATTACACTCATACTGATTTTCTGCCTGCTGGCCCTGTCACTCACTGAGAGAGGGCCGTGGGTCTGTCCAGCTCGCTCGGCACCTCCGTCAGAGATGTCACACACATTTTGACAGGCTGCTGTTCAGCGTTTATCTTCAGGATTGCGACTTCCTTGGGGGTTAGCTGATCCATTTTTCATTAGCATCAGCCTATTTCTATCCTTGAGAATTCTCCTACTTGAAAATGGGTTTTGTCTGAAATTAGTACAGCTACCGCTGCTTTCTGTTGATGGGTAAACGCTCTACCGTGGTGTCTCAGTGCCACCGGCACCACCAGAGTCCCCGACACTTTGGTGGTGCTTTCACCTGTCACCCTTGTTTCGCGCTCTCGATTTCATTGGACCTTTAGGATGATTCTGTTACCTCTTCTGTAACATACCCAGGATACTTCTTTTTAGAAAAATGTGCAAGTAGACTCTAAATACACTCTCGGTACCTTGTAAGAGAGCAGTTCAAATCCCTCCCTCCCAGCACTTGTAGAATGTTGCTGTCATACATCTCACTGCTCCTTAAGAATATGTTGTTGTCATTTAAAAACTGTCACCTTTTAGATCAGTTAATACAAAAATGAGTTTACCTCTCTTTTGGGCACTCTTCCTTCATGTAGGTCCACATTTCTTGCTCTCCTAAAAATGTCTGCTCCTTGCAGTGCTGTTCTAGTGAAGACAAGTCCCAGTTTTTGTTTGCAAAGGTCTTTATTTCTCTTTTACTTTTAGAGAATGATTTTGTTAGAAAAAAGACCCACTCACCTATAAGTCTCTGCCTATCAACAATTTGAATATGTTATGCCTTCTATAGATTTTTAAATTACTATTTTTTTAAGATCTTTAGTCTTTTCTGAGCTTCCCAGATCTATGGTTTGACACCTAACAAAAAAGTTCTATAACCATTATTACTTCATTCTATTCCTTCTTTTCTTTCTTGCCCTTCTAGCATTCCCGTCACACGTTACACCTTTTATAAAAGACTTGCGGTTCTTGGGTATTTTGTTAAATTCATCCGCCCCCCAATCTTTGTTCCTTTTGCTTTTTAGTTTGGGGAAGTTCCTACTGATATATCTTAAAGCTCACCGAATCTTTCCTCATTCCAGTTTGCTTATGAGAGCCCTTCAAAGGCCTCTTTCATTTCTGTTCTTTCTCATGCCTAATGTCCAAGGGTTGTGTGGTGTCAGGTGAAGGAAGTCGAGGTTCTTTGAGCTGTAACCTGGGAAGCCCTGTGGAGCTGTACTATAGGGTCATAGGGGGTTTCCCCTTCCCGCGTCCCAGTCTTTGCGTGAGCTTGTCCTTCTTGAGTTGTGACCTTCGAAAGTGCCTCTTGGCTTTCTACCCCATTTCTAAGGTGAAGTAGGAAGGCCAAAGCTGGGCTTTCCCCCTCAGGTTGGTTACGGTGTCGGTGGAAACTTCTAGAGCCTATTGTGTAGAACGGTACTTTCCCACCTCCTGCTGGAAGCACGAGTTGACTTTTCCTCCACCTTCACAGTGAGGAAGGACTTGGTGGGGCTCCTGGACGTGGACCTCAAGAAAATAGGCCCCTTTCCCAACGTGGCGTGGTCCATAGTCACTCCTCGCAACACACACTCCTAGCGGGTATTGGGCCCAGACGCAACACCTTCTCCTCTCGACCAGCCTGCTGGTCTTCCCAGTTTCAGGGTAAAGACTTACCTTGTGACTTCAGTTTTTGTTAGACCTAAGAAAAGTCAATTTTCAATTTTATCATGAGGATGGGAGTGGTGATTTCCAAGCTCTTTCCGTGCCAGACTGGAAACCAGGAGTCTCCTCATTGCTTTTGAGTGGAAAGTTCATTGGGGCGAACACTCTCCCCAGCCTGGCCCCTGAAGCAGCATGTCAAGACTGGCCACACAGTCTCAGTGGCCAGGATGTCAGCAACTGGGTGCTCGGAATGTGCTTTTAGCCCTTGCCACAGGTGACAGAAAGTGTGGAGGTCCCCAGCACCCCCAGACAGGGTACAACGGTTATGACTCTGTGTCTTCTGCAGCCTAGCCCCTGCTGAAGCCGAATCCCAGGGCTGGAGTCCTTGAGCGACTCGCGTTTGATGCCGTGCTCCCGAGGAAGGAAGGACGCCTGTGCCTCGGTGACCACAGATGGCCATTCCCTTCATGGGCTTCCTTGATGCCGACGCTTGGCCTTTACTGGAAACGTGAATGTGTCCCCATAAAATCATGTATCAAACAGCCCCTCCTTTGTCCATTTCCGACTCTGGTGCCCAGCCCCCCTCTTCGTGGGGACAGCCTCTTCACTCTCAAATGAGAAAGACTCGCATTAGATTTGTGTGTTTTCAACTTTAATCTCCCTCGTGAAGTAAGGTTAGTTTTCCAGTTTAGATGAAATGATTCGCAGAATCCCCTGACTGGCTGCATCCAGGGCCGCTCTGGTGAGGTATGTCCCCTTAGCTGACAAGGATCCTCTGCTACAAAAAAGCAGTACAGGGGGCTTTAAAATAAGTTGATGTGTTCTGGAAAACGTAACGTTTTAACAACAGACAAGCACATATAAATTAGAGGCAGAGTTGGTGACTGAACTGAAAGTGTGGCAAGCTGCTTCACCATAGCGAATACAGTACAGATAAGGGAGCGCCATACCAAAGCGTGCTGCACAGGAAACATAACTCGAAGGAGAAAGGAAGTAAAACAAGACAAGCAGCAAAGCACAGAATAAATGTAAATGAATCCAATTCTCCAGGTCTAGGACAGGACTGTACAGTGTAAGTGACATACCTCAAACAAAGACTAGTGACACACTAGACAAATGCTAACCTAAGGAAAGAGCTTGGGGCCAATTAGAAGAGTGTTAAGAATAGGTTTTGCCTATTATTTAACACAGTAGGCTCAGGTAAACAGCATTACAGGAAATATTATATAATAAAGATTCAATTCAGCAGGAAGATGACAGGCATTCCCCACCCTTGTAGTTCCTGTCACAATCCAGAAGAAACCAATAAACCTGCCACCACAGCACATTTCATTGAAACTGATAATAGTCTCATAAAGTTTGATAGGAACATGTCCATCCACAGAGAGACGTGTACTAGGCTGGGACAGCACCTTATTTGTTACAGCCTGTGAACTGAAAAAGCCCATTAACGCCCACGAGAAAACAGACAACTGGGACCAGAATCTCCCCGGGGAAACCAGATCTACTGGCATCGTTCATGACAATATTCTACATCCTAATGTGGTGAGCTGCCACTGGTATTTTCAAAGCCCTGCAAATACTGGCTCTTCATATCTAGAGGGAACAGTTATTCCAGTGAACGAATTGACCATGTAAGCCTTGAGATTCAAAGAATGAGATGGTGCCTGGCTGCCATTACCAACTGCTCTGAAAATAAAGGTCTTTGAGAGAGGGGGAGAAAAGTGTAGAACAACTCAAAATCACAAGAGACCAGGCTTACTGGTTAGGCAAGTCTTGGGGATCCCTCCAGTCTCTTAAGAATGGCCCTTGGTCACCATTCAGATCTGTCACAGAACGTACCCTTGTGTTAGAATGATCAACCATCTAAGACCAGAAGGGCAGCATTTACCCCAGGACAAAGTGCAGTGGGTTAGGAAACAGGAAGTGGAATAAGCATTGGTACAGTGAGGGGATTGTAATGAGTTAAGTCAGAATAATTCCGTTTTAATAGATCCTGCATGCTGGTTGGATAGATTGGTGGAGCCCACAAGACTGGCCCTTAGTCACCCTTTGGTTAGAAATTGAGCCTCAGAGGTGGGTTCAGTTCCAGGCCCCAACAAGTAGACCATAACGGGGGGTCACAATGGGGAAGGACACACACCCTCGACTGACCAACCAACCATGTAAGATCAAATGGACAGCACTTGTCCACGGGCAAAGTTCAGAGGGCAGGCAGGGTGAGAAAGGAGGAATGAAAACAGGAAAGGTCAGGAGGCTGTGGGATTAGTGACGTGAAACGTGTGTGAACTGTTAAACAGAAAACTGGATTTCTGTCAGACAGTTTGTCAGCCGATTCACAATGCAGTTAACACACAGGTAAAAGCACATGTGCTGGAGGGTGTGATGCTCCTAAGGCATGCCCTGGCCTCTCAGCCCCGTGGGGTTGGTTCAGGGAGCAGCAGGGAGTGTGCCTGCTCTAGGGCCCTCGTCCCTGTACCTACACTGATGGCCGCCTCTCTTTGGCTGCACACCCACCTGGAAGTGGCTGCTAGGCATCTTGTCAGCTGAAGTGGAAGAAGTCCCGTCCCTCCTGCAGGTGCAGTGAGCTCAGGTTGTCCTCAAAGGCACCCCCTGTGAGATCCTGGGAAGGCACAGGTCAGGGTCAGGGTCAGCCAGGCCGCCCTCCAGGCCCTGGTTCCCCTGCTCTGCCCCCCATTCCGAGGCCCCAGGGGACCTCAGGGTCTGGAAGGCTGTCTGACAGGTTGCAGTGTGAGCTGCTCGTTTGATGAGGAACCTGATGAGCGGCTTAGGACTCAGGTTAAAAATCAACCAGACTTCTGCACTCCACCCAAAGCTTGCAACAAGTCCCATCCAGATTAGTGGGCCCAGTTTCCACCTCTGCCCTTGGGTGTGTGAGCCAGCACAGCCACATGTACTCCCACCCCCAAGAAGTGTGGACCCATGTCACACATGTACAGTCACTCATGGTGTTAACAGGGAGACACTGAATGCTGCCACCATCAGGCAGTAATGTGAAACTCCACGGAGAATGGGGACTCCCCCAAGGGCAGGGAACCAGTCAACGGCGAGGGTGCACTCACGGGTGCTAGAAGCTAGGCACTGCCATTTGATGCCATTCACACAAAGGATAAGACGGGCAATGGGCTAGGGGTGCATATACACTCAGGTTGAATGAGTGTTGCCCAGGAAGCTGTCCTTTCCCTCGGCCCAGGAGGTAGCTGTGTGGGTGACCAGGAGTCCATGGCGTGTCGTAAAGGCCCAGACAGGAATGATCTTCAGCTCTGTGGCCACATAGCCTCTGAGGCAACTGCTCACTGTCAGGTGAGCCCGGTGGTGCCACAAGGACCCCTCACGCCCAGGAGGGTGGCCATTCTAGGAAATGACAGGTGCAGGTGAGGTGGAGGAGACTGGAACCCTGTCTGCTGCTGGTGGGGGTGAGGTGAGGTGAGGTGGTGCAGCCGCTGTGGAGCGGAGGCTGGCAGCCCTCCAAGGGCACACGGTGACCCACCACATGGCTCAGCAGGTCCGAGGCCAGGGCCACACACAAACTTACACAGGGCAGTACAGCAGCAGCTGTCCACGTAGCCCCAACCCAGGCTTGTGCTGTTCAGTTTGTCAGCTTGGGCCTGCGTTAGTTCTCACTCTGAGCAGACTGGCCATGGGGGCAGGCTGGGGGCCGGTCTGAGCGGTCCATACTGCCCACTCCTCCCAGGACAGCTGTCGAGGGCACACTTGGGCTCCCCAGGCTCCTGGCGGTCAGACTGCCCTCTTTGTGCTGACCGAGGAAAGGCAGGCAACTAGTCAAGAGCATGGTCAAGAGGAGCAGCTTGGCTGCCGGGCGAGCCTGCCCAGGGTGGGGCCCACACTCACCAGCTTCACGCAGATGACGAAGGGTGGCTGGGCGGCCCGGAAGTGCAGGATCGGAACCCGGGGCTTGGGCCTGTCCTAAGGGAGGTGCAGGACTTCAGCTCGGAGGACCAGCAGAGACTGGAAGTCCGCCACCCCCACCCCTTCCTCCACTGGGGCCTCGGGTGGTGAATGCCTCGGGGATGAGTGGCCTGGTAGACTCACATGGCAAATGTGGCCCCCATGCCACCTTGTGGGTCTTCGGGGTCCATGCCAATAGGCACTTCCCCCTGCGCCCCCTCCCCATCCGCCACCAACCAAGTCTATCAGCCTGGAGACGAGATCCCCAGCTACAACCTGGGGCACAGCATCTCCATGGCTGCTTATACAGTGACCCCGAGTGGGTCCAGGCAGGTTCTATAAGCACACCCCACCTCTGAGGGCCGCTGAACATACCCCATCCCCCCCACCGCCCAGGGAAGGCATACCTGGGAATCCTCATAGCAGTAGAAGCCCTTTTGGATCTTGCGTTCATCGACGTCACAAAACGCTGTTACCTGAAGGGCAGATGGATGCTCACAGCCCAGGGTCACGCAAGGCTGAGCCCCAGCTCCTCCCTACACCCCCGGACAGGGCAGAACTGCTCCAAACGGGCCCTGTGATGACAGCCCCCGAGTCTACAGGGACCACTCATCAGTATGGGAGGACAGCTGGTCGGCCACAGGGGCTGAAGGTGATTTGAGTAAGGACAGGGCACACCTCCAGGTGTCAACAAGCTTAGTTGGGGCTGCAGGCCTGGGCCCACCTTCTGCTGGTTGGCAGTGTCCAGGCTACGGTAGAGCCGCCGGCCCTGCTTGCCTGCGTTCCAGATGGTGAAAGTTGTCCAGTGCAGAAGCACCCTCTCTTCCAGGAAGCGAACTCGGAGGGTCCAGATGGTGCTTCTGGGGGCAGAAAGGGTGTGATGGGACCCCAGCCCAATAAGCCAGGTTGGCCTGGCCAGGCCCCCGGGGATTGGGTAAACAACTGAACAGGCAAACAGGTGAACCCATGGGCAGACACGTGTGAACGAACATTCAGCTAAGGGATGAACACAGGCAGACAGGAGATGGACAGACGAGCAGGTGGAAGGATGGGCACTCAGTAATACCACTCTCTGTCGAGTCCCTGAGGCCCCAGGTTTTTGTCTTTCCTGCCTCAGTGATGCCCAGGCCTGATGGCTGCAGCCAAGGTGCCTGGAGGGTCCATTCAGCTCACCAGTGTGTCAGGCAGGCAGACTGGACAAGGGCAGCTCAGTCTCCTCCTCAGAACCCAGCATGTAGGTCACATGCCTGAGAAGCGCACACCTGGCTGGCAAGGTGGGGCTGCCCTGGGATCCAACCTTGGCTTCCCTCCCTCTGCATCTCACTGCTTGTTCTGGACCCCACGTGTGTTCTGAGCATCCCACAGAGTCTCTCTTAGGAGGAAGACCTGTTGGCACTGTCCACCCCAAGCCTCACTGGGAGACCAGGGGGGCCCACAGACACTGGCATGGTTTCCACCTGGAGAGTCTGCAGTGGTGGGCTCACCCCCCTCCTTGCTATCCCCCACCCCTGGAAGGGCAGCTGGTCACATGTGGTGCTGAGTCCAGCCAGGTCTGTCCATGAGCAGGGTGCCACACGAAGGCTGGGCAGGGCCCCGCACCTCGTCTTACAGCAGCAGGCAAGCAGGGCTTCAGGCTGGAAGCAGACTGAGGTTGTGATGGGAGGAGGGCATCCTGGGCACAGACGTGGATGCTCAGTGGGCATGGGTCTCGAGCAGCCCCACAGCTCAGGGGATGTGCCACTTATGAAAAACATCGTTCCCATGATATTTGGCATGCTTATAGAAAGAAAGGGCAAAGTCTAGTCAGCTCTCCACCAGGCCGTGGTCAGGTGGCTGGGGAATTCCTGGCTTGGGAAGGCTGCCGTCAGCGAGGGCCCGTCCCTGTGAGGTCTCCACTCAGCTCCGGCTTGATCCGAGGCAGAAACTGACATGACATCACCACTCGAGCTGTGGGTGGCCCGCCTCATGGTGAAAACAATCCTGGACAAAGGATGCTGTCGGCTGCGTGGCTGCCTCCTGGGGATCACACATGTGTCCTGTGCACAACCAGAGGGGAGCCCCCGGTGGACGGCTGTGGGGCGGTACTGAGAGTCCCAGCACTTACACGCTTCTGAGAGGCCCCAACAGCTGCAGGAACACCCAGAGTCCCCTGCTTGTCTTACTGGGTGGGGGTGGGGACCTCCTCCTCCAAGAGCTGCCTCTGGTGGGCAGAGCCGCTGTCAGCCAGGTGGTGGGAGCTGCTGTCAGGGCCTCCCTGAGGGAGGGGACTGGCCAATGTGCCGTGTCAGGTCAGCAGCTGTGACAAACGCACAAGCCTGAGTCCCCAGGGCTTGCCTGCGTCCAGGGTCTCTGACACATGGATCCTGCCCTGCTCGTCACCATGCCGGCACACGTGTCCGGAGGCTGCGCTCCTGGTACCATCAGTATTTGCTCACTTGCCGATGTCATGCCCCTGAGGCTGGTCCAGCAGGCCCTTCTTCAGGAAGCTCTAAGACCTGGGACTGCGTGCCGGTGTTTCCAGAGGAGACCTGCAGGCAGCGGCCCCGGCCGCAGCCCGCTTTGGCACCCCTGAGACCATGGCGTGTTCTTGGGGCCACACTTAGAGGGCAGGTGACGAGGACCAGGGTTCATGTGTGCATTGACCCTTCCGAATGTTCCTTAGTGAAGCTTCTCTTTAGACATGTGGAGGCTTCCAAAGGTTTGTGGAGAAATCCCAGCCCATCGTGCCTGGCCTGCTTTCACCAGATTGTGCCTTCACTGTGGGGCCCCTGCCCCCCGGGAGCCCCACTCACTCGAGGACGGACCGTGAGGCAGCCTGCGGGTGGCAGCGGTAGACAAGGAGGCTCTGCTCCACGCGGAGAACGTGGCCGCCGCGGCGCAGGTGCTCCTGGAAGAACAGCAGGTCCTCGGGGACGCCCTGCGGGGGAGTGCACAGGCTGAGCTGCAGGCCCCGGGGCAGGGGTGGCAAGGGGCGTGGTCCCTTGGGTCACACCTGTGCTCCTCAGGACTCCCAAGACTAACGTGAGGCTTGGGGACCCTGGTCCTGGGGGTCTTTTCTCTGAGTTGCCATGTCTCCCCAACACCCCAAAGATGAACTTCCTAGTCAACTTCTGAGAGAGGTGGCCACCAGGACCTGCCCCAAGGCTGCTAAGGGACACACAGCCACCCAAAGGCAGGTCCAGAAGTCAGGGCCAGCCGCGTGACCGCCACCGCCCATGGTGGGGCTACACTGCACACGTGCAGGCAGCAGTGTCATGTGGGGCTGCCCCTGCCCCTCCAGGAAGTCCAGCTGGACCAGGAGCCCCAGGCCGGCAACAGCTAGCCCGGGGAGGTGTTCACCGGCGTCCAGATGAGAGGAAATGTGGGATTTGAGCTTGGTTGAGGGGCTGGAGGATGAAGAGTCAGGCACAGGGCAGGGCAGGTCACCGAGGTGTCCTGATGCCCTTGGAAAGGTGAGTCTGGCAACCCCAGGCTGGGGGTGGGGAGCTGGGGATCACCATGTCGCCGGGCCTCACGGCAGCGCTGGCTTCCTTGCCTGGCCAGCCTTCCTGCTCTGCCAGCCCCCCCCCGCCGTGAGCTGCAGCCCAGGCTCACGGTGGCCCAGCCCCAGCAGCAACACCCTAGGCGGACAAGCGCCCTGACCGGCCACGGGGCCCATAGGCCGCGGGTGGGGGTGGGCTTGTGAGTTTCCTGTTCTTTTCTCGCCCTCACGGTCTGCTTTTCCCAGCTGCCTGCCACCTCAAGAGAGTTCACTGCAAGGTGACCAGAGACAAGTTCTCACAAGCTCACTCACCCTTGAGGCTTTCCTTATTTTTGGTCCAAAAAAAAGAGGTGTTTCATCAAAAGAGGATTCCAGGTGGGACCTCTGTTCTCCCAAGGGTGCCGGTTCCTTGTGGACTCTCCCCACCTGTCTCCTGCCAGGCTGTCCCCAGGGCCAGCAGCCACAGCGAGGCAGAGGGGGCGGGGCTGTGAGACAGGAAACAAGGAGAACCCAGACACTCCCACCCCATCCCTCCATCCTCCCCAAAAGCCTTTGCTGTACTTTGCCCCCAGGGGGAGCTCGAGAGCTGGCCATCTCGCACCTGACCACAAACAAAACCAGCTCGAGGCAGGAGCCCGCAGTGAGGCGCCTTCACAAGCACCTCCGGGGGACAGCCAGAAACAGGACAAAACTGGGCCCCTCTCCACAGCCCCAAAGGAGCTAGATTAAAAAAGAATGAAATATAAGGTGTTGATGAGATCAGGCATCAAAGACCCAGAACAAACAATCATATCAATGTGAATGAGGGGGAGTGCAGAGTGGGACCCAAAGCCCATCTGTAGACAATTGGATATCCCCTAACAGAAGGGTCACAAGAGACGAGCAAGTCAGGGTACAGTATAGCACCGATTGAACATACAACTTTCCTCTACTTCTTTAATGCCCCGCCCCCACTATCATGACCCCAATTTTGCCTTACAAATCTGGCTAGACCAGAGCATGTACACGGGTACAGATAAGACCTCGAAAACACAGGGAATCCAGGACAGGTAAACCCCTCAGGACCAATAATAAGAGTAGCGATTACCAGGAGGGGAAGGGGAAGGTGGGGCGAGAGAGGGAGAACCAATCACAATTATCTATATTAAAACTCCCTCCCCCAGGAGTCAGTGGTTGGTGCAAGGCATGGAAAAAATAATTTATAAATTATCAAAAGTTCATGATAAGAAAAAGACAGAAGGTGGGTGGGTGGGCAGGTAGGGCTGTGGCTACTAATGGGTGCGGGTCCTCTTTTGTCGGTGGCAGAAAGGCTCAAATATGAAACTAGTGCTGGCTGTACAACCAACCCTGTAATTTACTAAAATCCATAGGATTGCCCATTGAGTGGGTGAACTGCATATGTAAATCCTACTTTCACAAAGGTGCTAAGAAAAGAGAGGCTGGCTGAACTCAAGAAAAGAAACTGAAGAAAAAGATAATTATATGTGAAATAGATTCTAAATTACAAGGTCGTCATGGGAAAGTAGCTTTGAATAAAGTTTATAAATGGAAGCAATTTAGGAAAATAAGAAAATGAAGAGGTAAGTAAAACGGATCAGAAAGTTATTGAAAATACTTTGAGTGACCGACACAGGATTCAATAACCACCCAGTTCAGTGGTTACGATACTACAGAGTTGCGCACACACATCCGCAAGTTTTGGAAATGCAGGACCATCCAGGGAACTCTGACCGTGTAGCAGGAGTTTCCAACACCAAAAGGACGAAGCAGGGCTAATGTCCACAAGCAGACGAAACCGTCCTGAGATGAAGCAGAGGCTTCTACGCATGGAGGGCCCACCAACCAGCTCAGAAAACCATCCCGATGAAGACCAGGTCCAGGGTGGACTGAGCCTCACTGTACCAGAGAGCTTCCCAAGATCTGGAAAAATCGTGAACTCTGAAGCCCCCTCAGAGAGTGAGCGAACACCCCTGATCAGACCAACAGACATCCCCCACCATGTCAGGTGGAGACATGAGTATGACAGGTCTCGTTTTACTTAGCTCCGTAACACTGGCCAACACACACGTTGGGGCTCAAACGTTAGCCCTGCCTGGGTACGTTGGACTTACTGATTTGAAAAACTGGCCCCGGTGTCCCCCGTCAGCGCTGGGTTTTGAACTATAGAACATATGCCACACAGACCATTCTCCACATGCCCGTAGGACATCAGGCTGTCTCAATGTCAAGCTCACTAGCCAGGATGTGCACGCTGGCTTTGGTGAACGTTGTTTGTGTTGTACTGTGTTTAGGTCAAGTTACTCTTCCTATGGTGTCCCTTGTTCAACAGTGCAAATGACAAGAGCTTGGAATTTCCCACAAGTGCCACTCCACCTTTGTTAAGAACTGAAGAGCAGGCAGCAGTTCCAGTTTGTGAGCTTCACAAGGGGTCAGAAAACAGAGTTAACTCTGCTTCGGGTACCAGGCTGTAGACAGGCTGTGAGAACTCCCTGCAGTCCATGCACTGGACAGGAGCAGGGATGGACTCTGCCCAACAGCCAACCCTCCTTCCTGGCAACCACAAGCTCTGTGCATGACACACAAGACCAGACCTGGAGTCTGACGGCATGGGAAGCATGGGGTGAGGGTGGGACTGGGGATGGAGGGAGAAAGAAGCCAGAGAGCGAGAGCAACAATTCTGCTGCTGTGAAGTGCACAGGGCAAGATCTGGGGCAAGCAGAGTGACAGAAGTTTGGTGAAAATCCAGGAACAGAGGCCACGATGCTCACAAAGCAACTCTGAGAAGGTGCCAACAATAGAAAGAAAGCCCACTTAAAAATGGACAAAACACCCAAATTGTTCATAAAGTAAGATACACCAACAGCTACCAGGCACCCAAGGTGCGCATCACGAGCCTTCTGGAGGTGCACATGAACGCTCCACAGGAAGCACAGCCCCAACCAGAACAGCTCCAAGAGTGACGGACAACAAATGTGCACTGGGGCTGGGAGCAGGAGGAGGTGACCGTGGCCTCCAAACTGCGCGTGTGCCCTCCTCTCTCCCAGCCCCAGCCAGGCCCTGATGCGAGAGCCAGGAAAGCGCGTGCCCGTGAGTTTTTGCTCTGCTGGTGGTTTTCCCTCCTTCTGAGAACTCGCTGTCCCTCTGAGTACCGGCAGTGCTCTCGGAGGTGGGGGTGGTTCAAGGCTTCCTCTCACGTGCTTGGTACACGTTCTAGGAGAGAGCTGTCCCCGGCAAAGCGGAGGGCAGGGAGAAGAGGAAGGCCCTCGACAAGATGGGTGGACACGGGGGCTGCAGCCACGGCTCACACGGAAGAACAACTGTGAGGCTGGTGCAGGGCCGGGTGGGGTTTTGATCTATGGCGGGGACGGGGGTGGCGTGGCAGAGTCCGAAACCACCCCGACCGGTGACCATGAGTAGTTTTCTCCCAGCTGTTCATTCCGGCCAAGACCCCTTCAGGGAGGTGGGGCCATCACCCATCCTGCGGGCGCCCTGTTCTGAATCAACGAGGCAGCACTTCGACTTTTGCCCCACAGCCTTCTGGGCCCTGCGCCATCGTCCTCACGGACTACGTCAGGGGTACCGGTGCCCAGGCATCTCGCCGAGGGCTCTCTCACTGTCAGTCACGGACCCTGTGCTCGGTACAGGGCACACTGTCCTCCTGGGGCACATTTCAGACTCGGGCCGGGGCCCAGGCACACACAACTGTCACAGAGGAATGAGCAGAGGTGACAGGTACAGCCCATGGGGTCTCTCGGAGGGGAGGACACTTCTGGGGGTGGGGGTCCCTGGTTCCCAGCTGCCTCTTGAGCACCACCTGTTCCTGCCGTCCCATAGGTGACAGGAAAGGCGGCCAGATGGAAGCTGCCCTGCCCTGACGGAGAGAGGAGGAAAGGTGGGGTCTCTGGACCCTAAGTAATTCGGGTGACACACAAGGTAGCCTCGCAGTGGCCATGTCCCCACTCTGTGCAGGACAGACGGACAGGCAGGGGTGTGTCAGTGGCCCTAGAACACTGTGTCCACACAGAGGGCCTACGCACCCATCAGCCTGCGGCCAGCAAGGCCATGAGGCACTGTGATGCTGCTCTGCTCCTGCTGATAACTACCCCTCCCCCCTGCCTCCTCCTCCTGGGCCTGGCTTCCTGGCCAACCCTGGGGACACCATAGGGCAGAGGTAGGCAGCAGACCTGTGATTGTGACTGCAATCATCGCTGCAAACGTGAGGCCCATGTCTGCACACACGTGCCCAGGGCAGGGGTATCAGGAAGTGCCCGTCCTGTATGGCAAGTTCCCAGGGTCAGCCCCTAGGGGCTGGATGCAGTAGGTGTCCAGGAGGGTGGAGCTGGTGGGGGGCTGAGGGAGGCCTGAGGTCCAGAGGGGCAGGCCTCGTGCTGTGGGTCCAAATGGTCCCTGTCTAGGAGGGACACTGAGGCACACCAGCCATGGCCACAGGGCTCCAGGAGCCCAGGTGTAGCTGGGGTGGGGCAGGCGCTGTGGGGGCACCACGTGGGGGGTGGAGGGGCAGTGCCAACAAGCTGTTTCTGTCTGCTGTTGCTGCCCCACCGCCAGCTGCGGGTCATCCAGCTGTGGTTCCCGAGAACTGCTGCAACATGAGCTCTCCCTGACCAGCAGCCTGGTGGCCTGAGCAACCGTGGGGGGCGGGAGTTCCAGTGTCCTTGTGTGCAGCCTCAGCAAAGGCCTGGACAGGACCCTCCAAGAGACCCTCACCATCAAGGGCAGACCTCACGTTCTCCAAAGGCTCTTTAAGGGTGACAGTAGGGCCACTGGACTGACCACCCCTAAGACTTGGGTGCAGTTTGCACTCAGACTCCAACGGTCTGGGAGCAGAGAGGGGTCAGCAGACAGTCAGTGCTTCTCCACGTCACCCCAACCTTTGTGCGGACCCTGCCAGGCCTGGATGGAAAGGCTGCTCCCACTTCCCATCACCCCAGACAGAGCCTGGCCCTACTTCCCACATATAGCTCTTCAGCTGGGACCTGAGGCCAGGGAGCCTCCCACAGGCCACCCAGAGGCCCCTGCACCTGACACACAATGGTGGGGTTCCCTAGGTCGGGTCCTGCCAGCTCAGCTTGGCAGGGCAGGAGGACGTCATGGAGGTGGACAGTGGGGTGCCCTCTCGTAGCACTTACCTTGCCACCCTCATCGAAACAGCCCACTTGGGAAAACCACTCTCGGGAGCAGAACCAGGTGGGCATGATCACTGTGGGGCCATGTGACGTGAAGACCTGGAGGTAATGAGTGGGACAGCATTAATCCAACCACTTGTGACCAACACATGAGCGTCTTTCTCCCTCGCAGTCAAAAGGTCACAGCCGGACCAGCAAGCTCCCCCCATCCCCACCCGACCAAGGCCACAGGCGTCTGTGTCCCATCCCAACCCGGTAGGCACCCGTGACAGATGCTAATTTACCATGTGAAATCCAGGAATAAAACCCTGCTTTGATCACTGGGAGGAAAAACTCAACACCATCACAGTCACACAATGACAGGATAACTATGGGGAAATGGGCAAACGACTGGAGAGACACTCTCTCCAAACAGATTCAAGGAGAAAGGAAGATCTGAACAGACCTGTGTGGCAATTCCATAATCCCTTGTCACCTTGTGAAGGGTCGAGTCTAGCCTGTCAATTAGGTCGCAGCTTGATGACCTTATTTGGAGGTGCAACAGATCTGAAGAGGACTTTATAGATTGGTACTGGACATATGGGCTAATATCAGACTTATGGACTTGATCTGGGCTGGGATGATTTCTCAATATTCAACTGCTCTTGTATATAAAGTTCTTTTTTTT